CACAAGGATTGCTACAAGTATAACATTACAAGGCCAGCTTCGTGAGATACGAATGAAATTGCCGGAGAGGACTGGTTGGAACTTTGGTGGCAGTTTGGCCAGCAATCCTCTTTTGATATTGTTTATGGTTTTTTACTTTTATATAAATATTGTTTTTGGATTTTGAAGTTGCTTTTTTACTGTCTTTTGTGCGGTCTAGTTTTATGTCTTGAGCAAATATACTGTTTTGGCCCTGTTTGGAGTTTTTCCTTGAATAGCTTCTTGCATAAAATATACTCACCACCAGCAGGCCTATGTCAGAAATATACGGTCCACTCCATCGCCCATTAATTTACTGTAGCAGCAAACGCAATTGGAAATGTCCTTCTACCGATGTTCACTTTCCCTCGCGTACATTATCAAAGTCATTTTTTGAGAGGTGGGCCAGTTGGTATTAGTGGTACTGCAAATAAACCAGGTTGGATGCAAGAAGATGATTTTCTCGTGTTCCTACAACATTTCCAAAGACACACAAATAGTTCCTCGAATAACAAAGTGCTTTTACTACTGGACAACCATTCATCACAAGGATTGCTACAGGTCATTAGTCTGATCGGTGTGGAGGGCCACATTTTGCAAGAAAATGCCGACATGTAGACGCTGAATGTAGTTATTGCAAGAAAGGACACTTGAAGAGATCGTGTTAAAATTGAAGATACAAAAAATATTAATGCAGTAGAGGAACAAGAAAAATATCAGGTACTTAAAGTGAACAAATCACTGTAAAGTGTACAATGCTGACTAAATACCAGAGGTAATGATTCCATGGTACAGAAGTTTGCCAGATCATCAAGTGGTGACTTAGATTGCGTGCCAAATCCCTCTATTTTGAGGACAGTGATGGAAATTGAAATAAATTGCTGTTTTTTAATTTATTTGTGCTCCTTGATTCAGGCTCAGTAAAATCAATTGTTTTATACATTCAATATTATTAGAACGGGCGTCTTTAGGGAAAAGGCATAAAAAATCATCAACAACTCCCACATAATGAACGTATTACGACACAACAAACAAATGAGACACGAAAACAAATGATCGATAAAAAAACGCATTAAATGGAATCAATTGTCAAAAAATACGAGGACGACCTTTTTGGTCGCCACAATGTTAACCTCAACAGGAATGAAAGAGTATAAAACAAAATAATGGTCAGAGCAACAGATTTTCTGTCCGAAATTATCTTTAAGCCCTCGAATTTCAAACGAGATTATATTTTATGGACACACGAAACGCAGAAACCACACAACGGGATATTTGAACTTGAATGAAGTTCGACCAAAGTAAATACTTGACTGATGATGAATTTATCACCTTATTTTACAGTCAATCGTCAAATAGTTCGTGACACCCAAAGTAGACCATAAGTACGCAACACGTCTTTGTTACAATTGGAATAGAACCCCCGTGACTTTTTTTTTGCTTTCGTTTAAAATCACCCCCATCCCTCAAGCCTTTCCCCAACCCCTGCTGTACAAAATTTTTGTGTGTTTCGTCTTTTTGTGTTGTCTTGTCGTGATTGTGATTTGTGATGTCTTTTTTGTTTTAGGTCGATAAGTTTGCTTAGTCTTGTAGTTAAATTATTTTATTTTATTTGATTCTATCACTGTGTAAAAGCTGCACGTGACATTGGCGGAACAGTGGCGAAAAAGCACAAGTTCATCGCCATCAATAAAAGAAGAAGAAGAAGAGTAATTATTGCCATACAATATCGATCAAGTGATGACGACACAAAGGTAGTAAGTTACTCGCCGAAATGCAAACACAACAACTCTTGCGACCACTATATCAACCACAATTATTTTTTAAATCAACCACATTCGTATCTGTATTTTAAAAGGTACTACAACTTCAAGCATAGACAACAGTTTTCAACCCAAAAATTACGAGACGGACAAAAAAACAACAGAAAAAAATAAGTAACACCACAGAAGAACTAGTGCGAAACGTACAGGGACTTCTAAAATAAAACAGCACAGACATAACCTTAAACTGTCAAAAGAAGTACACAAACACAAATAAAAACATATTCCTTAATAAATATATAAATTATAATCATCATACAATTTAATGTTATGTCTGGCATTCGAATTGCTATAAAAATAATTTTATTCATTACAATTTTGTTAACCTAATTCAATTATAACAATAATTACAACGATCAAGTAGGAAAATATTATTATACACATTCCGACGTTGGAAATTCATACACAATCTGCGAAGCATTGTTATAACAAGATCAACAATCTTTTAAAGATTAATTCTAAAGGTATAATCATTTCTACTGCAGTCATGAAACTCATGTAAGTTTTGGCTAGGCGCAGACCACCGACTTTTAGTTGGCCGATAGTTGGGCCCGATTTTAATTTGTATGAAGAATCAGCCGATTGCAAATCGGTTTAATGTGCGCACTTCCATACATGCCCTTGCCCATACTGATTAACTGCTCAACTAAACCATCGGCCGACAAAAAGTTTGCAGTCTGCGTCTAGTAGGGTACAAAATTTTGCTAGAAAAAAACCTAATCTAAAGGTCCTGGCCCTGATAAAAAGTAACCAGTCTTATCTTAGTAACTTTTTAGGTGAACAGATTGGATAAGGTACAACTTATTTATGTTTTTAACAAGTTTTAAATACAAGTATTTACATAAATGCATTTACTCTTATCAAGTTGGCTTTTCAAAAGCTCCAATGTAATTTTTTAACATTATTCCTACCACTGCTTCTGGAAATTATGAAGACCAGTAAGTAAACATAGTAGCTATAAGGGCTCCTTTAAATAAAACGTTGCAAGACATTTGTGCGCTTGCAAGACCGCTAACTGGAGATTCCGTGGAGGGTAATTAAACGGAAAGCATGGTCGATCTGTGGGCGTAGTGCGAGTTTACATCAAACATCTTTACTAGTGACTGCGTAAAAAGTGTCATTAAATGTATGAAGGATTGTACAGCGCCCCTAGCGGAAACTTTCAACAACTAAAATTTTAATACATATTTTTTAACGCGCTCACTAGTGACAACGTTTGATGTAAACTCATACTAAACCCTCCGATTTAATGCTTTTATTATTTAATAGACTTCAGTATGTAAATCACGTCATGTATGTTTATACTTCACTGCGACGAGTTCGGTCGCTTGGCGTCTCGTCTCAAATTGCTTGCATTGTTAGTGTGCGGTCTTACAAATGCACGACTGACGTCTCACTCAAAACATCGAATTTGAAAGCCCTTGAGGTCAGCGCACATAAAGGCGTGAAGCACGGGAAAGCGAACACGATCAGGGACGATATTTTTTTCGGCTAGTTCAGTGATTCGTCCCACAACAGGTTCGTCCCACTGGGACGAAACACTAAATTAAAAAAATATATATTTTTCGTTCTGATTTGTCCATTTAATTTATTCTTTAACATAATGAGTTCTGTATTGTTAACAAATTCATGTTTTCTTTTTTATTTCATTTCTGACGGTACTCAATCTCATAATGTTAAAGAATAAATTAAATGGGACGAATCCAGAACGAAAAATATAATTATTTTTTTTTTAATTCAGTGTTTCGTCCTAGTGGGACGAACGTGTTGTAGGACGAATCACTGAACTAGCCTTTTTTCTAGTTCATATAAAATCAGTCGCATAGAAAACGGACGCCTCCCGGCACGATACGCGTCTAGCGCTTCGCGCTGGATCGGTATCGGATCGCTTTCCCACCCTTTACACCTCTATGTGCGCTGACTTTTGAAGTGTAGTTTTGATAACGTTTCAATAATAGCGTACATAAATAGCTATCTTCCAAGTATACACGGTAAATAGTGTAATGTCTGTTTTCCACTGCGCACGAACTAAGTGACGTGGCGTGGCATGGCGTCGCGGTGGCGAGCCTAGCGCCAGTATCATTGCTTAGATACTTAGTGAGCGGTCTTACAAATACGCAACTGACGTGATGCTCAAAACATCCATTTCAAAGCGCCAGCGTAGATTATTTTGATAATGTTTAAATGACTATTTTCCAAGTATACACGGTGCTGCGTAAAACGCGTAATGTCTGTGTTCCACTGCGCACGAATTAAGTGACGTGGCGTGGCATGGCGAGCCTAGCGCCAGTATCATTGCTTAGATACTAAGTGAGCGGTCTTACAAATACGCAACTGACGTGATGTTCAAAACATCCATTTGGAAGCGCCAGCGTAGATTATTTTGATAATGTTTAAATGACTATTTTCCAAGTATACACGGTGCTGTGTAAAACGCGTAATGTCTGTGTTCCACTGCGCACGATTTAAGTGGCGTGGCGTGGCTTCGCGGTGGCGAGCCTAGCGCCAGTGTCATTGCTTAGCAGGGAAGCGCTGGACGCAGGCCGCTACCAATCGATCAACATGGAAAGCATTGGGGGAGGCCTATGTTCAGCAGTGGACGTCCTATGGCTGAAATGATGATGATGATGATGATACACGGTGCTGTGTAAAACGCGTAATGTCTGTGTTCCACTGCGCACGAACTAAGTGACGTGGCGTGGCGTGGCGTCGCGGTGGCGAGCCTAGCGCCAGTATCATTGTTTAGATACTTAGTGAGCGATCTTACAAATACGCAACTGACATGATGTTCAAAACGTCCATTTGAAAGCGCCAGCGTAGATTATTTTGATAATGTTTAAATGACTATTTTCCAAGTATGCACGGTGCTGTGTAAAACGTGTAATGTCTGTGTTCCACTGCGCACGAGTTAAGTGACGTGGCGTGGCGTGGCATCGCGGTGGCGAGCCTAGCGCCAGTATCATTGCTTAGATACTTAGTGAGCGGTCTTACAAATACGCAACTGACATGATGCTCAAAACGTCCATTTGAAAGCGCCAGCGTAGATTATTTTGATAATGTTTAAATGGCTATTTTCCAAGTATACACGGTGCTGTGTAAAACGCGTAATGTCTGTGTTCCACTGCGCACAATTAAGTGACGTGGCGTGGCGTGGCGAGCCTAGCGCCAGTATCATTGCTTAGATACTTAGTGAGCGGTCTTACAAATACGCAACTGACGTGATGTTCAAAACGTCCATTTGGAAGCGCCAGCGTAGATTATTTTGATAATGTTTAAATGACTATTTTCCAAGTATACACGGTGCTGTGTAAAACGTGTAATGTTTGTGTTCCACTGCGCACGAGTTAAGTGACGTGGCGTGGCGTGGCGTCGCGGTGGCGAGCCTAGCACCAGTATCATTGCTTAGATACTTAGTGAGCGGTCTTACAAATACGCAACTGACATGATGCTCAAAACATCAATTTGAAAGCGCCAGCGTAGATTATTTTGATAATGTTTAAATTACTATCTTCCAAGTATGCACGGTGCTGTGTAAAACGCGTAATGTCTGTGTTCCACTGCGCACGATTTAAGTGACGTGGCGTGGCATGGCGTCGCGGTGGCGAGCCTAGCGCCAGTATCATTGCTTAGATACTTAGTGAGCGGTCTTACAAATACGCAACTGACGTGATGTTCAAAACATCCATTTGGAAGCGCCAGCGTAGATTATTTTGATAATGTTTAAATGGCTATTTTCCAAGTATACACGGTGCTGTGTAAAACGCGTAATGTCTGTGTTCCACTGCGCACGATTTAAGTGACGTGGCGTGGCATGGCGTCGCGGTGGCGAGCCTAGCGCCAGTATCATTGCTTAGATACTTAGTGAGCGGTCTTACAAATACGCAACAGACGTGATGTTCCAAACGTCCATTTGGAAGCGCCAGCGTAGATTATTTTGATAATGTTTAAATGACTATTTTCCAAGTATACACGGTGCTGTGTAAAACGCGTAATGTCTGTGTTCCACTGCGCACGAGTTAAGTGACGTGGCGTGGCGTGGCGTCGCGGTGGCGAGCCTAGCGCCAGTATCATTGCTTGGATAGTTAGTACTTGGCGGTCTTGCTAACACAATTGACGTTCTGCGTCTTTTTTAAAGAGTCCATAAAGCGTAGATTTGATGTTTAAATGACAGCTTACACAAATATCCCAATAATACACGGTGCTGTGTAAAACGTGTAATGTCTGTGTTCCACTGCGCACGAGTTAAGTGACGTGGCGTGGCGTGGCATCGCGGTGGCGAGCCTAGCGCCAGTATCATTGCTTGGTTCGCTTGCCCGGCGGCTTCTGTAGCTGGAAGCCGCCGGCTGCTGGCACCAGTGAGGAGTTCAGAGACGTGCCGAGAGCTGACTGCGGCGTCGGTTGCCAGCCGGGACCTGGGTAATAAGAAATCATTGCAACAATACACGAATAAAACACTTGATGGAATCTAAATATTGTAATAACAATTATTTAATTTAACGCACAAATAATTACAGTAAACATATTCATCAATAGGTAATCAGCAGGTCATAATGCAGTCTCTAATTCGTATTAAAGGATAACTGTGCCATGATGAGTACGAATGACTCGTGATCGTATAGAATTCGTTTTCACAGCGGCGGCGCTGTTTTTTCATTAATACAAAAAAGAAACGATTACCATACAATAAGAGGAACGATATTTGATCGTGCTCAGCTGAGCATGAGCAGACCAGCTGGTATAGGATGCGCGCCATTTTAGTCGATAAAACGTATCGACAAGACGATATAATGGCGGGCTTATTCGTTAACGCCAATGAGGATCATTTCGATTTTTAGCTGTGAATGCAGATTTATAGGTCTAAGAAATCCTTAATATACAGTCCAAAAATTTTTGTTCTACGACAAAAATTGACGAAGTTATGGCCAAATTACTAAAAAAGTTCACTGACCGCCCGGCGCGGGACCGATGACGTCACTATATCCGATCCGAACGCTGCTGGCGTACTGCGTGGATAGAAAATATTTTTTTCTAGCCAAACTATCAGTTTTAGAGAAAAACTTGTTATGACATTTATTCATCAGAATAAAGTAAGCTATCGTAAGGTAATTTTTTAAAATAGATATTGTGAAAAATATCGCAAAAAATCCATACGCTCATACGATTCAATGGAACGCGGCGCGGAGACGCGATAGGGTCTCCGCGGTGGTATATTTGGGGATTTATTCAAATAAAGTGTTCATAAGTGTTGTTAGAGTCATATCTTCGTCCAAGTAAAATATAAAAATGTATAAATATTACACATACAAGCTTTGCTTTTTGCGCGCAAGTTTTGTAAGAAATTGCAACAAAATATTGCGCTATTTTTTTATTGCGCTGATTCTGCTCCATACTGATGTCTGGAGCCTTTAATGGATGGTATTGTTTGTTTACATTATACAATGTCACTATTTTGTTGCAATTTCTTACAAAACTTGCGCGCAAAAAGCAAATCTAGTATGTAAAATCATCAAACTTCTAATGCTCGTCACTCAGTTCAGACTGAGTTTAGAGGTATACATGTCATAGTAAGTTTGCTTTATTACACTATTTTGTAATCAAAAAACTAGGTTTGATCGATGGCCGCGCGAAAAAAAAAGACGCCAATTTCCGGCATTGTCTTTTTGTCGAAGGAAGCGCGGGGTGCGGGGAGTTTGATCCGAGCAATCCGAGCGTCATTATTGTAGTATGGATAAATTAAGCGTGTACCGATAAACTCAAATATTAGCGGAAGAATGGTGGGACGCGTCTTTCTGGATAATCTACTAGCGTCCTGTGTCTTGCTGGTTTAAGACCTTTATGAGGCCGTCGGTCCACCTTGTGGCCCCACAAGGTGGACGTCCACACGTCTCACGGTGCCCTTTCCCGTACGTGGCCTTCACTCCAAAACTTTGCTGCCTATCGGCCGATTTAATGGGAACCCAGACACTCGCCCGGTTGAATTTTGCAATATCCTGTTGTAACTAAGCTTTAAGTTTATTAAGGTACCTGCATGCCAAATTTCAAGCGTCTAACTTAAGCGGTTTAGATTTTTCATACAAAAGGATTTTCCCGCTAATTCCCGTTCCCGTGGGAATTTCGGGAATTCCTTTCTTAGTGCACCTCTACGGTACCCAAGCTACGTCCCTTCCAAATTTCAAGTGCCTACGTTTAGCCGTTTAGGCTGTGCGTTGATATGTCACTTAGTCTGCGCACTCACCCGGCTGCGGGTCGAAGGCCGCGGCGGGCTCCTTGAGGATGTACTTGCGCAGGTTGAGGTACTGCAGCTTCTGCGCCTCGACCTGCAGCCGCTAGCGACTTGTGCATTCGTTCGTTCGTTTCAGCCGAAAGAAGTCCACTGCTGGACAAAGGCCTCCCCCAAGGATTTCCACGAAGACCGATCCTGCGCCGCTCGCATCCAGGCACCTCCCACGACCTACACCAGATCGTCGATCCACCTAGTGGGAGGCCTGCCCACGCTACGTCTTCCGGCTCGTGGTCGCTACTCAAAAACTTTCCTGCCCCAGCGGCCATCAGCTCTACGAGCTATGTGCCCCGCCCACTGCCACTTGATTTTAGCGATTCTGCGGGCTATGTCAGTCACTCTGGTTCTCCTACGAATCTCCTCATTTCTGATTCGATCACGTAGGGAAACTCCGAGTCCGAGCATAGCACCCTCCATCGCCCTTTGGGTGACCTTGAGCCTTCTTATGAGACATATAAAAGTCTCATGTAATTAATGGACGCCCCCTTTCGAACCCTGGTTGATGGTGACACTCACCCGGCTGCGGGTCGAAGGCCGCGGCGGGCTCCTTGAGGATGTACTTGCGCAGGTTGAGGTACTGCAGCTGCTGCGCCTTCACCTGCAGCCGCCTTGCTAGCGCCACTAGCGACTCGTGCATTATGATAATTATCATTGATAACGGCCGCCCGCGACTTCGTACGCGTGGATCCCGTTTAACCCCTTCATCTATCTTACGCGGTTTAGATTTTTTCATACAAAAGTTTTTTCCCGCTAACTCCCATTCCCGTGGGAATTTTGCAATATCCTGTTGTAACTAAGCTATAAGTTTACTAAGGTACCTGCATGCCAAATTTCAAGCGTCTAACTTAAGCGGTTTAGATTTTTCATACAAAAGGATTTTCCCGCTAGTTCCCATTCCCGTGGGAATTTCGGGAATTCCTTTCTTAGTGCACCTCTACGGTACCCAAGCTACGGCCCTTCCAAATTTCAAGTGCCTACGTTTAGCCGTTTAGGCTGTGCGTTGATATGTCANATGATAAAGGATAACTGTGCCATGAATACGAATGACTTGTGATCGTATAGAATTCGTTTTCCTTAAACAACCACAGCGGCGGCGCTGTTTTTTCATTAATACAAAAAATAAACGATTACCATACGATAAGAGGAACGATATTTGTTCGTGCTCAGCTGAGCATGATCAGACCAGCTGGTATAAGATGCGCGCCATTTTAGTCGATGAAATGTATCGACAAGACGATATAATGGCGGGCTTATTCCACTATTCCCCGTTGACAGGGATTGTCAACGGGGAATAGTGGAATAAGCCTAATGGCGCGCTTTAAACTTTTAAGTTAGCAATTTTGACAGTAGACTGACACCAACAATTTCAAAGATTCTTTATTTTATTAAAAGTAGGCAATTGCTTACCACTGGCGTCAGCAGCAGGGAAGGGAGACACAGCACTGCCCAAGTACGTGAACGGAGTTGGTCCAGCCAACTGCGATATGTTTCCTGTACAAAAATTACGTTTACTACATGAGAATTTGTACAAACATAGTCCTTCAAAATATGTTAACATTTCAGTAAATAATGATATATTTTTATGACTAAACTGGCGTTAGATAATGCCGGCACCACATTGAATAGGCTAGATGACAAAATTTCAATTATTTGTCCGTCAGACAGATAATTAAAAAATATTAGACTCATATTTTTTATTTTAATAATCTTTCATAATTAAATAATAACGTTGCTACATCGAATTGAAATGGCGCGCTCGAGTAGATTCTTTACTCAAAAGTGACGCCACGCGACATTTCAACTCAATATTATTATTCGATTATGAAAAAAAAAAAAAATGTCTCCAATTTTTTTTTATTATCTGTCTGACGGACTAAATAGAATTTCGATTTTATTACCCAGTCATCATCCCTATTTTAGTCTTGGATTCAATACACCAATGTGTACATCGGTCCTTGGCTTTACTTTTATGTCCAAAAAACGTTGGTGTATTAGATGCAAGACATAACTTGGAGTCAATATACCCAATGTATGGCGCCAGCATAGGGTAACACATAAAACGCTAAGTAATTCAGATGATAGGTTATTTATGTTTCATCATCAGCCATAGGCCATAGGACATTCGCTGCTGAACATAAGCTTCCCACCAATGTTTTCCATAATGACCGGTTGGCAGCGGCTTACATTCAGCGCCTTGGCTTAGGCGCAGACCACCGACTTTTAGTTGTTGCTTAAGCCTGGTCCGTGAGCACGTAGAATTTTGTCCAATGACCCCAAGCTACCCATCCTTATCGCTCGCGCGTAATGATATTGCTGTCGCGACTGTGCGACGCGCGCCCGCAGTGAGTGTGCGAGAGCGTTCTACGTGCTCACGGACCAGGCTTTAGTTGGGTCCGTTTCTAATTTGTATGAAGAATCGGCCGATACCAATGTGCCCACTTCCACACGTTATGTCCATTCTAATTAACAGCCCGACCCAACTATCGACCGACAGAATCTGCGGCTACCTTCCTGCTAAAATATGTTTAATTACCTAGAGCCACCCTAGGATCTGACAACACGGCACTGCCAAAGCTGACATCTGACATCCCGGTCTTGGACTTCTTCCTGGAACCATCTGCATCCTTCAGGATCTGGTCTAGACTGTTGTTTGCTGTAAACAAAACCAACGTTAATAATGAAGTCAGGTGTGCTGGAATGAAGGGCGAATAGGGTTTGAAAATGGTAGTGTTTATCATTGACTTGATGAATTGGAACTTAATAAATTAGCTAAATATATGAACAACAGTTCAAGGATTTCCACAACGACCGGTTCTAAGCTGCCCTTATCCAGGTAGGTGTTTCACATTTTGGTCGCTACTCGAGAACTTTTTGCTCCGGTTGGTATAGATCGTTTCATCCACGAAGTCGTGCCCCACCAAATGGCAATGCCAGATTTTGTATGGAAGGTGGCGTCTTTTCTTTTTNATCTACAGCACTGGACAAACTACGGTATGACGTTCGTAAATATTCATTCGGGGGAAACCTGAAACGCCATCTATCAACATGGGTAAAATGAGGTCCACGGGAACGAAGTCGCGGGCGGCCGCTAGTTTATAATAGGTAGCTTTCCCTCCGCAACCTTATTGGTATTCTGTTAAACATTTCATGTAAAATTTGTCCAATTATAACTCTATTTACATCTGCATCTGTAAGCAAGGATTCATGTTCTCCAGCCCAGATGCCGAGTAAACAGAATCGTCTTTCAGTGACGTGCAGCTGCCCCTATATTTCACCCACTGACCTAATTTTTTATTATTTATTTGTTTCAGTGTGCTCTTCTAAAGAGTGAAGACGATTGTATGTANGATTTGGATAATTCAAAAAGATATATCTTTCTTATGTCTTAAAGATTAACGTAGATACTAGTTTTATTGAATTTTCTACAACAGTACTGATCCTCATTGGAGCTTATAATGTTAAAAATAAAATCCTAATATAACGGGGAATAGTGAACAAAAAGTTCACTAATCCCCGTTGACGGGGATTGTCAATGGGGAATAGTGGAATAAGCCTAATGGCGCGGCTAGCACTTTTAACTTTTAAGTTAGCAATTTTGACAGTTGACTGACACCAACAATTTCAAAGATTCTTTATTTTATTAAAAGTAGGCAATTGCTTACCACTGGCGTCAGCAGCAGGGAAAGGAGACACAGCACTGCCCAAGTATGTGAACGGAGTTGGTCCAGCCAACTGCGATATGTTTCCTGTACAAAAATTACGTTTACTACATGAGAATTTGTACAAACATATTCCTTCAAAATATGTTAACATTTCAGTAAATAATGATATATTTTTACGACTAAACTGGCGTTAGATAATGCCGGCGCTACATTGAATTGGCTCTAAGTTAGTTTTGGATTCAATACATCAATGTGTACATCGGTCCTTGGCTTTACGTTTATGTGCAAAAACCGTTGTTGGTGTATTAGATGCAAGACTTTGAGTCAATATACCCAATGTTTGGCGCCAGCATAGGGTAACACATAATACGTTAAGTAATTCTATGATAGGTTATTTATGTTTCATCATCATTATTTCAGCCATAGGCCATTCACTGCTGAACATAAGCTTCCCACCAATGTTTTCCATAATGACCGGTTGGCAGCGGCATACTTCAGCGCTTTAGCCTAGGCGCAGACCACCGAATTTTAGTTGTCGTTAGTTCGGCACGATTCTAAAGTCTGTTCGCCGAGAGTTGATAAATATTATGAAATGTCTTGCAATAGCGACTGTCGCTTAATTATCGCATTCTGTATTATGGCGGGCGTCGTTTGTCACAACGCGCACTGAGTACCATGGTACGAGCCACGCAGCTGCCTAGCTGTCGTCATGTGTCAATAATAGATTTATTTTACATAAGACCGAAATGAATGGTATGACAGTGGGTAGGGCTTTGCCCAACATTGGGATACACTATAAGCCACTTGATAATAATGAAATACTTTTTATCCAACACATGGACGCCACGTGTTTGATCCGTATCCCCACGTATGCCCTAACCGGAATAATTCCCGTAAATTTAAAAGAGATAATAATGATAATGTACCAACTTTTTCATTATATCGACAAAAATAATTAGCGGGCCGCAATTTATAATGAGTTTAGAACCTCTGATATTTAAAATTTTTTATCAACTCTCGGCGAACAGACTTTAATTTGTATGAAGAATCGGCCGATACCAATGTGTCCACTTCCACACGTTATGTCCATTCTAATTAACAGCCCGACCCAACTATCGGCCGACAGAATCTGCGGCTACCTTCCTGCTAAAATATGTTTTAACTTGTTTAATTACCTAGAGCCACCCTAGGATCTGACAACACGGCACTGCCGAAGCTGACATCTGACATCCCGGTTTTAGACTTCTTCCTGGAACCATCTGCATCCTTCAGGATCTGGTCCAGACTGTTGTTAGCTGCAAACAAAACCAACGTTACTAATGAAGTCAGAAAGGTGTGCTGGAATGAAGGGCGAAAAGGGTTTGAAAATGGTAGTGTTTATCATTGACTTGATGAATTGGAACTTAATAAATTAGCTAAATATATGAACAACAGTTCAAGGATATCCACAACGACCGGTTCTAAGCTGCCCTTATCCAGGTAGGTGTTTCCCATTTTGGTCGCTACTCGGGAACTTTTTGCTCTAACGTCCATCAGTGCGAGCTAGGTTGAGGCCAATAACCAAGTGATTTAAACATTAGGGCCTGCGCTAAAACTGACAAGCGCGCCCGTACGTGTACTACGTGTCTTTGTATAGAAAAATAGTATGAACAGGTCAGTGAGGCGCGGACGCCTGTGACGGGTTTGAGCGGATGTCTACCGCGGAGCGCAATCCCGCGTTAGGACGACCGAAGCGGGCATTCTCTATGCACCTGCGTAAGTTTTCGCATAGGTCCTCAAGTGCTTCCTACCCGTGGTCATCATCATCACAATTTCATTCAAATAACGTCCACTGCTGAACATAAGCCTCCTTCAATGATATCTATATTGACCGGTTGGTATAGATCGTTTCATCCACGAAGACGTGCCCCACCAAATTTTGTCGAGGGAAGCGTGGGGTGCGGGGAGTTTGATCCGAGCAATCCGAGCGTCATTATTGTAGTATGGATAATTAAGCGTGTACCGATAAACTCAAATATTAGCGGAAGAATGGTGGGATGCGTCTTCGTGGATGATCTATACTAGCGTCATGTGTCTTCCTGTTTTAAGACCTTTATGAGGCCGTCGGTCCACCTTGTGGCCACCCACAAGGCTGACGTCCACGCGTCTCACGGTGCCATTTCCCGTACGTGGCCTTCACTCCAGATCCTTGCTGCCTATCGGCCGCTTTGAAGGAAACACACACTCACCCGGCTGCGGGTCGAAGGCCGCGGCGGGCTCCTTGAGGATGTACTTACGCAGAAACGCACGAGCGCGCCAATACGTATGCGGCGCGCACGCACACACTGACAAAATTTAGCGTGGATTAGCGGGGAGCCAGTCGTGGATGCGTCGAATTTTGTCAGTGTGTGCGTGCGCGCCGCATACGTATATTGGCGCGTTCACATACAAACCGCGCTCGGGCATTTCTATGAAGATGACCTACTCATTTGTATTTACTCTGGCCTTAGGGCTATATTTCACCGGGACACCATGGCGGCGCAACCAGTCGCCGCTACCAACAAAATGTATACAGTTCTATAGAGAATTACTCACCTGGTGTCCGTTTAGTTACGCAAAGCTGTATATACTATTATTACTTAGATTAGATTTTGACTTTGAATTGAACCTTTCTGCCCCATTGGCCGCTTTGACGGTAACACACTCACTCGGCTGCGGGTCGAAGGCCGCGGCGGGCTCCTTGAGGATGTACTTGCGCAGGTTGAGGTACTGCAGCTGCTGCGCCTCCACCTGCAGCCGCCCTGCTAGCGACTCGTGCATTCGTTCGTTCGTTTCAGCCGAAAGACGTCCACTGCTGGACAAAGGCCTCCCCCAAGGATTTCCACGAAGACCGATCCTGCGCCGGTCGCATCCAGGCACATCCCGCGACCTTCACCAGATCGTCGGTCCACCTAGTGGGAGGCCTGCCCACGCTACGTCTTCCGGCTCGTGGTCGCTACTCAAGAACTTTCCTGCCCCAGCGGCCATCAGCTCTACGAGCTATGTGCCCCGCCCACTGCCACTTGATTTTAGCGATTCTGCGGGCTATGTCAGTCACTCTGGTTCTCCTACGAATCTCCTCATTTCTGATTCGATCACGTAGGGAAACTCCGAGCATAGCACGCTCCATCGCCCTTTGGGTGACCTTGAGCCTTCTTATGAGACATATAAAAGTCTCATGTAATTAATGGACGCCCCCTTTCGAACCCTGGTTGATGGTGACACTCACCCGGCTGCGGGTCGAAGGCCGCGGCGGGCTCCTTGAGGATGTACTTGCGCAGGTTGAGGTACTGCAGCTTCTGCGCCTCCACCTGCAGCCGCCCTGCTAGCGCCACTAGCGACTCGTGCATTATCATGATAATTATCGTGATAATTATCATTGACTAGCCGCCGCCTGCGACTTCGTACGCGTGGATCACGTTTAACCCCTTCATCTATCTTACGCGGTTTAGATTTTTTCATACAAAAGTTTTTTCCCGCTAACTCCCATTCCCGTGGGAATTTTGCAATATCCTGTTGTAACTAAGCTTTAAGTTTACTAAGGTACCTGCATGCCAAATTTCAAGCGTCTAACTTAAGCGGTTTAGATTTTTCATACAAAAGGATTTTCCCGCTAGTTCCCATTCGCGTGGGAATTTCGGGAATTCCTTTCTTAGTGCACCTCTACGGTACCTAAGCTACGTCCCTTCCAAATTTCAAGTGCCTACGTTTAACTGTTTAGGGTGTGCGTTGATATGTCAATAAGTCAGTCGGTTTCTCCTTTTATATTTTAGATAACTATCCTTTCGAACCCTGGTTGATGGTGACAACGGGCCTTAGTCTGCGCACTCACCCGGCTGCGGGTCGAAGGCCGCGGCGGGCTCCTTGAGGATGTACTTGCGCAGGTTGAGGTACTGCAGCTTCTGCGCCTCCACCTGCGCGTGCACCGCCTGCAGCCGGCCTGCTAAAGCCACCAGCGACTCGTGCATGCGACGGATGCCGAGGGTAAGTTCTGCAAGATAATGGCGTATGTTATAGGCTTGATTTAAGCGCACTGTCCCCCTGTCATAATAAATTCCATTTAGTCCGTCAGAGAGATAATAAAAAAATATTGGACGCGTATTTTTTAATTCTTTTCATAATCAAATAATTACAGTAGTTGGTATAATGAGTTGAAATGTAGCGTGACGTCAAGCGCCATTTCAATTCGGTGTAGCACTGTTATTTAATTATGAAAAAATACGCGTCCAATATTACCTTATTATCTGTCTGACGGAGAAAATTTAATTGATTAATTAAATTATTTTAATTGAATTAATCAATTCAATTTTCTCCGTTATATAAAAATGATTTTGTCATCTAGCCTATCGACGAATGCATGCACACCGCATGACAACAAGTAGGACGCAACGTGCCGCTCTGTGGACAACGTTTTGATTGTTTTTACGCAAGAAACAAGCAGCGTGCGCTCTGTTGGGACAAATAAAAAATGACTGCGCTGCACTAACGTCGCGGCTACGTAACCTCTTCCCACGCCCCTGTGTACACCGATGATACCAAAACGACAACAGTAACATCTATGCTGCACTATCGCAGCGTTCTTATCTGCAGCGTAGGCGCCGCAGCAATGCGTATACGTTGATCAAACGCCTACGCGTGACAAGTGCTAATATAAAGGGAAAATAATTATATTGCTGTTGCGGGATTCCGTGGAGGGTAGTTGAACGGGAAGCATGGTCGATCTGTTTTAATGGTTCAATTTATTATTTAATGGACTTTAGTGTACAAATTTGGTGTTATTTTGTGTTCTAAAGTGCAGTAAAGTGATAAATTATAAAAAACATTGAAACACTTCGAATTTGAGCGCGCATCGAGTGTCGAGTGGGTTGTCGTATGAACAACCTGCTTTGGACCCGGTGGTGTCTTGAAACCTGCTTACGGGCATATTTAACTCCACGGAATCCATGAAAAATCAATAGAACTGAAACACCCACGTTCTGTTGATAAATTATATCAATTTGTCACTCGACATTGGCAGAAATAAACCTCCCCGAGAGGTTTGGTTGCCACTAAATAAAAAAATAAAAAAATTGCTGTTGCACTCACACAAACAGCGTACTTTTGTGCGAGCGCAATTTATTTATCTAACAAGAGAAAAGACAATAATGTACGACTATATTAAACAGTGTGCGTACCTTGTTCAGTCAGCAGTTTAGGCGAGGACTGCATCTGTTTGTCGGCCACCTCCATCTGGCGGCGGAATGTGATCAGCTGCTGCTCCAGCTCCGATATCAGTTCCTTTACGTACGCTGGTGGGGCCGAACGTTCTAGTTCCAGTCCTGAAAAAATATTTTGCTATAGTATACAACTGACACATTGATTTAGTTTTTTTTCTTGTCGTGTCGACAACAAACCTACACCATTTAGGTTGATTAAAGTTAAAGATATCCTTTCTATACATAGAAGTGGTGGAGTAAGTCCCACTAAATAACTGTTCATTGGAACAACAATTATGTACAGAAAACATGCATATTAACATGAAGAAATTGTATTATAGCAGGCCAACTGGGTCAGTGTCAGACTTGCCGAATTGGGATCCAAGAAATAAGGGTTCGAACTTCGAACCCCGTCGCACTGGATTATTTAATTGTGGTGAACCCACTTGTAACAGNTTGCGCAGGTTGAGGTACTGCAGCTTCTGCGCCTCGACCTGCGCGTGCACCGCCTGCAGCCGGCCTGCTAAAGCCACCAGCGACTCGTGCATGCGACGGATGCCGAGGGTCAGTTCTGCAAGAGAATGGCTTATATACTCAACATAAATCGCACCTTCCGCGACGCGAACTTTAAAGATTTTCTGTTGACACAATCATGGTGCCCCAACAATATTGGTGTTATTTGAAAGCCTAATAAATAAACTTGAAAAACACATTTAATTTTTTATAAACAATTAACAGGTACCATAAATGTGACTTGAAAAAAGGCCTCACTTGGGGCTCACCTCTGGGATCAATTAGACCATTTTTTGTGGTTATAAAACCTAATAATGATCTTACGTGTCCTTTTTAACTGATGGATAGCGATTAATCCCAATTTAACAGTTTTATAGCCATAAAAGTTGGCTCAAGCGTAACAACCTATTTCTTGAAGAAGTGACTGGATCCTTCTAACAATACATTTTTGGGATAAAAACCTTTTCTTTAATGAAATGAAGTTTAGAACTAGGCTTCGGCTTTCGTTTGAGAAGTGCTTGTTACGGGAGGTGCGATTTATTTGATGCCGAGTGTATTTATAGGCTCGATTTACTCTAGCTAGGGACCTACACTAACACTCGCGCGGGCGCCCACCCAAGAAATAAATAATATGAGCAGCAGAAAAATAAACCTCGATCTTTTTCAGGACCAGTGACGTAATTCATGTATTTTGAAACAGTCAAAATGTCGTTGACGTTTAGAAGTCGTCCTATTGAAAGAGTCCTAAATCTAAATTGACGTGTTACTTTAACAGAACGATTACTCGATAGGACCGCAACTTATGCATAGAAACGAAACAAAATCGGGGGATTAACAAATAAATACGAAAGTAACTCCAGCGATCAAATCGCTTGCATGTCGTTGAAGTTTTGTTACGTGAATTAGGCCACAGCTCATAGGCTAAGTTTACTCTTACGCAGACCGGAAGGGTCTGACTGCGCTGCGCATACGTTCATCAAACGCCTCGCTTGAATAATGGTACCTAGTGTGAAAATACTGCGACAATTTATTTATGCAAGGATAATAAAGACGGGTATTTTTTTTTTAATTAAGATGTAAACACAGGTGTGCTGTTAATTTTTTTTAAATTGCTTACGGATCTTTTTTTATATATTTTTTTTATCCACAACAAGGAAGCTCTTAACATAGCTAGACTTTTAACTGTGTCCGTACCTTGTTCAGTCAGCAGTTTGGGCGACGACTGCATCTGCTTGTCGGCCACCTCCATCTGGCGGCGGAATGTTATCAGTTGCTGCTCCAGCTCCGATATCAGTTCCTTCACGTACGCTGGTGGGGCCGAACGTTCTAGTTCTAGACCTGGAAATAATATTTTGCTATAGTATACAACTGACAAGATAATTTAGTCCTTCTTCTTATCGTGTCGACAACAAACCTACACCTGTAGGCTTAAGATGCGCGCCGCGATAAGCGGTTATCACGCCATTTTATCGATTTTGCCCATACATTTTGACGTCGATAAAAGTTATCACGGCGCGCATCTTAGGCCTACTGATTTAGTTTGATTAAAGTTAAAGATATCCTCTCTATAAACAGGAGTTGCAGTGGTGGGAAAGAGAGGTGGGATAAGTCCCACTAACTGTTATATTGGAACAACAATTTTGTACGGAAAACATGCATATAAACTAGGAGAAATTGTATTATAGCAGCCCAACTGTGTCGGTGTCGGACTTCTTTGAGGTCCAAGAAATGCGGGTTCGTACGCTATCGCACTGGATTATTTAATTGTGGTGAACCCACTTGTAACAGAAGCATATTTAGCTTACCAAGAAGGGTTAACGGGACTTTTATCAGTCAGTGCCTAAGGTATATAGCGGCACGGGAAAGGTGACATCGACATTTCATCATCATCATCATCAACAGCCCTTTACAGTCCACTGCTGGACTATGAGCCTCCTCCACTATAGTGGAGGGTTTTGCCATAATCTCGACATTTATGACGTGATAAAGCATAAAAATCTGAAGCATATCTGAAGTCTCGCTGACGTTTCATCATCATCATCATTTCAGCCACAGGACGTCCACTGCTGAACATAGGCCTCCCCCAATGACTTCCACATCGCACGGTTGGTAGCGGCCTGCATCCAGCGCCTTCCTGCTACCTTTATCAGGTCGTCGGTCCGCCTTGTGGGTGGACGTCCCACGCTGCGTTTTCGGTACGCTGACGCTTGGCGTCTCAAAAACACACTGACTGAGTTATGTGTTCTAGCAGCTAGATAATAGTAATTAATTACTATTCACAAAAAATTAATAAAAAAATAACTTTTTGAAAAACAAGCTTTATTTCGAAAGCTTGTATCGCGCATGGATTTTATTCCTCTTTTTTTCTGTTTGCGCTACAAACTTTCGAAATAAAGCTTGTTTTTTTAAAAAGTTATTTTTTTATTTATTTTATTTTACACTTTTCAGTTGTATCTCAATCTCTGAGCCCTGGTCATCATTTAGCACCAAAGTGCTCGAGAAGTCGAATCCAACGAACCCAAACTCAATAAGTTTCCGCTGTTTCGTTTAGGAGTTCCTATGGCCACCTCCTGACTCCATCATCAGACCAGCTCAATGGTACCATAACATTGCATTGTCATCGTAATTACATAGGTATACCAAATTTCAGCTCAATCGGTTGAGGAGAACTGGTCTTAAATTCAGTTGCAAGATTTGTCCCACACATACTAACAAGTGAAGTCAATATAAAGCTTGTAATAATAATAAAAACAATCATTTTATTAACCTGGTTGTGCAGCTTCCCTCGCAGCACCCTCGGCGGCCGCTAGGGCTGCGGCGGCGGCGGAGCGGAGCCTCCGCGAGTGAGCCCGCGCTCTACTGACCTCTCCGCTTAAAGATAGAGCCAGCCTGAGAGTAGACTCTGCTTCGCGAGCCACCTGGAAACGACGCTTATTGTTAAGGGCGAGAATTATATGCATACTAGCTTTCCGCCCGCGGCTTCGCCCGCGTGGAATTTTGTCTGTCACAGAAGAACTTTATCGCGCGCGTCCCTGTTTCAAAAACCGGGATAAAAACTATCCTATGTTCTTTCCCGGGACTCAAACTATCTCTATGCCAAATTTCATCAAAATCGGTTGCGAGGTTTAAGCGGGAAAGCGTAACAGACAGACAGACAGACAGACAGACAGACAGACAGACAGACAGACAGAGTTACTTTCGCATTTATAATATTAGTTGGGATTTACAACTGTACAAATAATAATAAATAAATAAATATCCTTTGACATTATACACTACGCTTCTAGTCCCAAACTAAGCAAAACTTGTACTATGGGCACTAGACAACGGATAAAAACATACTTAAATACATACATATTATACATAGTAACACTCAGACCCATCACAGAAATTAAAATTCATCATTTCAATTTCTGCCCGACCGGGAAGAATCGAATCCGGGACCTCTCGGCATAGTAGTTCTTTCCGAACCACTACACCAAACGGCCGACTAAAAACTGTATGTTTCCCAAATATAAATAAACAGTCTTTATATTTAGGGCCCTACATCATCATGATGTGGATATTCCATAAAAAATATATGGTGATGATGATAGCATAAAAAGTAACTATTGACTAGTGATGTCCATATAACCTATCTATTTCATACAACAACATAATAACAGAGGAAATAATGTTATTTATGAATGTCTCTATAAAAAGGCAGAGTAATGCTCTGAACAGACTGACTGACTGAACTGACTGGAAGTTCTTGAAAAATAATAAATTAAATCCTATACATTGAAATAAATAATTAAAATAATTATAACTCAGTCAATAAAATAATTAATGAAGGGTAACAAGCTTAATTACCTTGTGCAATGGTTTGATGGAGACCCTCATGACATCTGAGCTTAAAGACTTCTGTTTCTTGACAAACTCCTTGAATGTGTCTATGGTGGTGGATATTTCATTTGGAAGCTTCTGCTGCTTTGGTGGTTCAGCTGCAAATATTACAAGTTAATTTAAAACCTGACGTTTATAAATTACTAGCTGACCCGGCGAACTTTGTTCCGCCTTAATGGCAATAAATAAGCAGACTTTTTTTTTTTAATTTCGAACGGAATAAAAAGTATCCTATGTCCTTCTCCTGGCTCTAAACTACCTCCCTGACAATTTTCAGCTAAATCGGTTCAGCCGTTCTTGAGTTATAAGTGGTGTAACTAACACGACTTTCTTTTATATATATAGATTTACTGAAAGTAGAAATATAACAGGTAAAATTCTACAGTTCTAGCACATATCTGAGTTAGTGCCTGAGGTATGGAAGCGGCACGGGAGGGTGTTTTTGTGACGTCAACGTCTTCTTCTTTTTTGATGATGGCAATACACGTCGAGGTCGACTTGATTTGTGCCATTTTCAAGTATTTATGTGATACGAGTTACAAAATGAGGTCAAGCAATGATATAATGAAGGATGATAGACGATACCCCTTCCCACCCTTTGAGTCTCAGTAAAGTTGTGGTACTTTACTGAGACCTCCTATGGACAACTTGAGAGAAGAAGAATCACGATGCACTGTTTTGCTTCACTCGCCCACACTCATGCACGTTCACGACAGCGTTGCCAGTTTTTTTTTTTTCGCCAAGTCGGGACTTTGGTACTTTTTGAGTGAAAATAGCGGGATTCTTGCGTCAGAAGCGGGACATAGTAAAAAAACGTATAATAATCAAAGGTTTTCAATCAAATATTTATCTTTTTATTTGACTTCAAATTACGTTTACGTGACAATAGATAGCAAAAGTAGCCATAGAAAATGTATTTTAACAAAAAAATAATATTTTAAATCAGATTTACTCTATCGTTAAATTCGTCTTTAGAATAAAAAAAGAAAAAAAAAATCGTAATTAAAAAAGTTTTATTCTTTAGAATAATATGGCGTTTCAAACAATAGTCTAGTGAAGTGAGTGTCTCTATCCGAAAAGCGGGACCGAGCCTGTCCCGCGCGGGACATTTAAATTTGATTTAAAAATCGGGACGTCCCGCCAAAATCGGGACGTCTGGCAACGCTGGTTCATGAACACTCAATGGTTAATAAGCCACCATTATTACACATTAATAGTCGCCCAAACACGTATTTGAGGAAATAAAACAAAACCGCTAACATGACGCTTCAGATTCCCGCCAAGAAGTCCTCCGTTATATGTCATACCTGCCGTGCCGCGCCGTACCTCAGGCATTGAGTCGGTTATGCGCCAGACCTGTAGTTTCTCTTTCGTTTACATCTATAAGTAATTCTATTATTTTAAAGATTTTAAAAGTAAAATAGTTTACTCACTTTTGACATCTGCTGCATTTCCCGTTCCAGTAGAGGGCGCTACGCCACCTAATCCAAGACTAGTGGAGCCTGCACAAATACAAATATTATTAAAAAAGCTGTTTCATTTCATTTAATATACAGAAAGTTGAAAAGATTACCAACTTTAGCCTAATTGCATTAAATGTGTAAATAAACATTAATTTTTAATGCCTGTCTAGAACAAAAATATTGAAAAAAAAATTTTTTTTGGAAGGCAGATTATTTAAAACCAATTAAAAATTACCTAATGTCGAAGGTTGTGTACCGGTCACAGTGGTTGTTCCTAATTTTGTACCTAAAAAGCCAATTGAAAGTAAATAAAACAGAATATAATTTTGTGCACAGAATACAAAATAAAATAAATGAACTAATAACATATTAGAAGCAAAACACTAGAAAATATATCAATGAAAAAAGATACATACTAATAAAACAATTATTAGAAAAGCATAGTACCTAGTAGTACAAAAACTAAGTCTTAGTATGGAATGGATAGACGATTTCTAAATACTGCAGTATTACGTACAAAACTTATCATTCAGAGTATCTCACCGCAAGATGGTGACATAGTTTTGTAACAGTTTCTTTTAGGGCTCTTAGTGGTATAACTGCACGGGTCACAAGCTATCGGACTCAGTTCAAAAGTAGGTTTCGGACTGGCTTCAAAGTGTGCTGATGGCAACATTTGGAAGGTCTGGGTGATGGGCACGAAGGGACTAACGTATGGAGAGCTTTGGTGAGGAAACATGGTTCTGGAAAGAATTGGAGTCTAGTTATAGGTATTTCAGGTTTTGTTTTGCAGCTGTCCCTTTTTTAGCACTGTATTAGACAAAAACAGTTAAGTATACCACAATTATATGAAGCCCAATATAAAAAATATTTTTGGTCTTAGCCATATAATTTATGGAACAATACTTAAAACATAATTCCAACTCAAGCATAATTATGTTATTTGATTAAACTGTGAGTGGCTGAAGTGCAATAATGAACCAATAAAAAATCAATTAACTCGATCAATTTCTGAATTCAGTTTATAACCTTCTTTAATAATACAGATCTTGGTCGGCACTCACCAAATAGACTGGACGATGTAGTGGCAGAGCTAGTGGCACCCCAAAGCCCTGTAGTAGCAGTTGTGCCTCCAAAACTAAAGCCACCTAGTCCACCGAGCCCAGTAGTGGCCGCTGTGGTGGTTGTCGCTCCGAAAGTTGGCACTGGATTAAAAATACCATTTATTAGTCAATAAAAACTGAATATTTTGTCAGTGTATAAATTATTGAGTGCTCTTTAATAGAAAATTCATAGAAAACTTTTTTTATTTTTATTTAAGAGAAAACATTATAAACAACCATAAAACTAGGAAATACAACAATAATCTTCTATCTTTGTAATTAGCTGTAGGTTGTTTACATAAAATTACCTTGTAGTTATAAAAATAATAAAATTTAAGAAGACAATCATACTCTGAATGAAGGTTTTAGTTCTGAAAGGAACTGCTAGGGTCGTTGTTCAATCCGTCATACATTTAATGTCGCTAGTGAAGACGTTTAATGTTAACTCATACTAAGCCCCCTGATGGGTACATTTTACAGTTAATTACAAACATAAAGATGTCTCACCAGCGGCTGTAGAAGTGCTGGCGCCTCCAAAATTAAGACCACCGGTGCCAAGCCCTGTGGCCCCAAACGCAGGAGTGCTTGTCGTGCCAAACGCTGGTGTGGTAGTGGCACCAAAGGCCGGTGTTGTAGTTGATCCTAAAACAATTTAATAAAATAATGTATAAATTTTCAATCCTAAAACAAAAATAAATTAAAACAAAGAGTCTCTTCTGCATTAGCTATGCAGTGCAAGTGTGATGGGAGTATGTATGACTAAATTCATTGTTATGATTAAGTTCTGGCATAGTTTTATTCATGAATAAATAAATAAATAAAATAATAATGAGTATTGCATAGTTATAGCAACAAGCAAACCAAGTTTATATGAAATTAATAGATAGTTATAGTAGTCTAGTAACTTTAAGCTAAACTACTGCAATGGAACAAACCATAATGTTAATGCAGACCCAGATAAAGAATAGTTAAACTCAGCACAAATGCAAGCATATTACAACAATTACATTGAAGTTAATGTTTTGATCATTATTCTTTAATATAATATGCATTGTGTGTGCTATATTATAACAAAGCAGAAATACTTCTTACCAAAGGTTGGAGCCGATGTTGCCCCAAATGTAGGTGCAGCGGAAGCAGCCCCAAAGGTTGGAGCGCCTCCGAAGGCAGGTGTAGCTCCAAAACTAGGCGTATTAGTCGCCCCAAAGGCCGGTGCAGTTGAAGTGGCGCCAAACGAAGTGTTAGCAGCGCCAAATGAGGTGTTAGCAGCGCCAAATGACGTGTTAGCCCCGCCAAATGACGTATTAGCGGCGCCAAACGCTGGTGTAGTGGTGGTGCCGAATGCAGGCGCTGAGGTCGCAGGCGTTGATCCAAAAAGACCAGTTGATGGCTGCGACGTCGCGGTTAAACCGAATCCGGGGGTTGCTGGTCTGTAGGAAAGAATTAATGGTTAAATTGGCCCTAAAACGTGCTATTTACACCCTTAAACGAAGTTTATAGGATGGAAAACTAGTAAAGAACTGTTGTTAAAACATAAAGGTTTGAGGTTATTTTTTTACAAGGACAGTATTTTTTTTATTTCTCAAAATAAGATTGTCTTTGAATGAGATCCATAGCGAATGCTAATTATAAAAGAGGTTTGTTTTGTACATTTAGCAACATTTCACTTAAAATCCTACAAAATTGTGAAAGAAATCACAGGTAGTTAGTACTTACTTAGCCGCGCCAAAACTGAAGCCTCCTCCTCCAAGCCCAGTTGTTGCTGGGGCACTTGAAGGTGTCCCAAAAGAGAAAGACATTGTTGTAATCAACTAGATATACGATCCTTTTTGCAGTATCATCAAATTGTTAAAAGAGGTCCAAAAAAACCAAAAAAGATCGGTTGACCAAGGAAGCCATAAAATTTGACAGCTAGCTAGCCAGCTGCCAAAGCCAATGTTGCCTGTTGACAATAAAAAAATGTGTTCCGTTCAGAAATTCTAGACGCAAATAACGGAATAACGTTATCAGTTATTGAAAACGCACATGTCAAAGTGACAAAATTCATTATTTTCTGATACCGAAAAAAGCTGAAAACATGAATCATCTTTGTAACGGAGGTAATTTGATGAATTCATGTAGAATTATGTTTAAAACGACTCCAGTAAATGTTGGCATACCTTGGAAGATGGTTCCATATCCGAAACGGGTGGATACTCTGAAACCGCCACCAGTGCTGCTTCCAGATGAACAATTCAACAGGCTCATCACAGGCAACATGCGCCCCGAATCGTCAATTACAAAAAGTACTGAAATTGTTAGTTGTACTTTTGTTTAATTTTGATTTTCGGGCAAACGAGGAACATTATATTTTGCTTTCGTTTTTTACCCTTGAATAAAAGTATATTTTTAAACTATTTCCTGGTATTATATCTTCTAATCCTCCAAAACATAATCGTAATCAAATTAATTAGTAAACAAAGTAGCAATCTGAATCAGCAGATACACTATGTTTTTAATATAAGGTTTACAATAAACCGACATCTACACTACGTTAACAAAACTAACTACTATTGAATAACCCTCCTGGCGCAATCGGGTAAAAAGGCCGTCTAAACTGACTACTACCTACCTGATTTTTGAAAGATTGTAGAGATGTCGTTTTTTCCTTAATTTGCAAGAAAGAATAACCTAAATACAGATTCCTCAGATTTCTACAATAAATAAAAAGACATCAACCCATTCTTGAGTTTTGAGCTGAGCAACACAGTTTTTTAAATGATTAACCTGTATAACAATAAATCATATCATATTGTATGTAATGTAGGTAGGTACGTATGTTATTTTTTTATGTAGGTACACAATCCACCTTTGACGTCGAATAGGTATTATAATCAAATGAATGCAGGCAGCTACCAGCCGGGCGATGTGGAAATCATTGGAGGAGGCCTATGCATATGTTCAGCAGTGGACGTCATGTGGCTGAGAATGATGATGATGATGATGATGATGATTTTATTCAAAACCATTTAATTATATTTAACTAGGAAGCTACTCTACATCCTTCTATTATGGAAGTGATTTTGTAATGTATACCTAAGCATTTCAATTATTTGAGGCAATATCGGCAGTGCTCGATCGCTACAACAACGTCTCAACTTAAATTAAATTCTTAGTAAGGGGATCTTGTTTGAGAACCGTTTCAGTTTCAGTATAACCACTGCCTTCTGCTTTGGCCGCCTTGTGGATTGTTGTTTTGTTTAAGGCTTCTGCACTCGGGATTGAAAATAAATTAGTGTCCGTGTACCTTTATAAAACAAAGTTAGCATTATTTTATTAATTTCCAGTGAAGCACCGGAAGTAACATGTTATACAGGCCAATGGAGACTAGAAATTTTGTAAATAAAGTATGGTAAAAATCGACCCTATAACATCGGTTGAACTGTCCCATTTAAATTACTTCATTTGAAATCACAGGCCACTGAATGCATACAGTGATTCTTCATCAATTTGACTGCATAAGGGGCCTTTTACATTGAAACTTTTTGGAGCGATACAAACAAACGCGATTCAGTCGTAGTCGCTTTCGCGATGCAGTCGCTGCAAAAGTTGCAATGTGTAAACTCCCTATGTTGGAAAAATTGCTAGTTTCTATACACTCGGACGTGGGTAGATGTTCCCAAACACCATCAACTTGCATTACACCACCCGTTGTATATTCAGGGTTGCCAGTCTTCCGCCCAAAAATACGCGACTCTGTTTTAAATTTGCAACTCGCTCCGTACATTTTACGACGGTGGCCGAGGTGACGTGACCTTTTGAGGTATCGCCAATTTGGCCGAATAAAGTTGTATCTAGTGATGTTATATGATAGACAATATGTAGGGTCAGGGAGGCAACAGTGACTCACTTTTTTTTCGAAGCTTAATAAAAATAGATATCGCTTTAATATTGGCCTAAAATTTGCTCACATTTTAGATACACTATTGAACTGTAACTGAGCACTCATGATTCTACATTATTTACTACTTATGTCAAAGTAGGAACCTAAAACAAAAAAATGAAAATTGAGTCACTGTGGACTACTAGGTGTACACACTGACTCACTACCGTGGTACACAGTATTAACGTGGTAAGGCAGTATTTATATGAAAAGAAAATGCCCATTCCGCGTAGTTTTTTATTAGAAATAATAACAAAACTGCACAAGCTATTCTTATTATAATCAACAATTCAACACGACTCTTAGTACTTTTATTGCTACCTATAAGATCTTAAGTCATCTCAATCTCTTCGTTATTTATTTCTTCCCTATTTTTCTGTCAGTTTTTTTCCGTGGCATTCNTTACCCACCGTTACCCACAAATCAAAGCATAAGGCACATGATCATGGTTTTCACAAGAATTTTATGTAAAACATTTCAGAAAATGGTATGGTTGCAAAAAGTAGGTATTACAGAAAATAGTAGGTTAGGTTAGGTTAGAACAGTGACCCTTAATGCGCGAAGGCGAGCGAAGCGTGCCGCGGCAGCGGCCGCCGAGCGCTAGAATCACCTCTATTGTTAATGAATCATTTGGAAATTTCGATAAAAAGAATGAAATAAGGAAATGAATGTAGAACAAATTTTATATTAACTACCCACTAAACAAAATAATAACCACAAGCTAATTTGTATTCCATTCTATGCACAAATCAAATTGTTTTGTAAATAGTTTATCGTGAAATATTATTGCCTAATGAAACATTTGGCAAACCATACATTGCCAAACAATAATTTGCTAAACAATAATATGCCAAAAACAACATTTGCGAATTAAAAGTTTGCAATAAGTTGCTTTGCCAAATGAGAATTTGCCAAATGAAAATTTGCGAAACGTTGTTTGCGATGTGATAATTTGGGAAACGTTTTTTGGCCAAACATTAGTAATCCGTAATTATCACATAAAGTACTATTTAAATTAGATTTTTTTAAAGGCAAATTGATACAAAGTTGCACTAAGTGAATACTTTAAAAATTAATTAAAAATTTTTGGCAAATTCATATTTTCATTAGCAGCTTGTCCACGCCAGGCCAGAAATGAACATTGTCCTTTTGGAATATTCATCTACAAAATAATAAATAGGTACGCATTGTCTTAATAGGTTAAGTATATTTTTTGGCCGTTCATTACCCGTTTATCAAAACCATGGCACGGCATCCACAAGTAGTATAATAAGGACAGACATCATTGGCTCATCGCAACATTAGACACATTATCCGTCCACTAATCTGCAAAGTTCGTATCAGTGAGTTTGCCAGTGCCCGCATGACCCTAGTTGTTAGGCTGAAGAATATCTGTTAGCGCTGCTCTTTCATGTTTACTGTCACTGATCTTTTTAACAGAGAAACTGCTTCACTCGACCCACGAGATCCTGAAAAAAACATAAGAATTAAGTAAGTTGTCTTACGCCCGTATTCACAAACATTACTTGAGGAGAGGAGGGGTCTCAAAGTGCGCGTGGACGCATAGGGTGACACACGAACCAATCACAGCTCTATTCAACGCTGTGCGTTCGATTTGCTGCTTCACTTAAGCAAGCATCGTTTGTGAATACGGGCGTTAATAAATTCAAATTATCTTCACCACGCAATATCGAATGGTACAGCATCACTATGTATCCAAGGTCATAAACCGCCCAAAGACCGCTACGCACTTGTTTATCGGCTCGAACCACTTCGGTTTTATCGACAATAAAAGCTGCGAATGTCTAGGGCAATCTGCCGCGACCTCTCCTATTTACAGAGCTTTAACTAGGATAGGAAAAGAATTACAAACGAAAGGCTTTCGGTGATTGAACGACCGGTGTCTATGGTGACAAATTGTGAGCGTTTGGTCCAGCATTAAGGACGTAGCGCATTTATCAACATGGAAAGGGATCGTAACCGTATCAACTCGAGGCGGTCAGTATTATTTGTATGAAACTCCATACTGGAAAGCACACTTATCCGTACCGCAAACGCCTCGCCTCGCGATCACGCGAAAGGCGACNACGGCGATGACAGCTCGCGAAAGGCGATACGGTGTTCATCCCTTTCCGAGTTGATAAGTCTGCTATGAGCTTTAGGGTCATTTTTAGGGTTCCGAAAAGTTATAAAGATATGGAACACAAAATCACACTCGTCTGCCGGTCTAATCACCTGTCAAAGGCAATTTTCTATCAGATGTAATCATTGAACAGGATTAAGACGACGATTTAGCGTAGCAATGGGCAACTCTACAAAAGAGCACCTGTTTGCATTTTAGTTAATAATATATTATCGGTTTCTATTGTATAGTTAAAAGTGTTTAATAGTTCGTGTGCCGGTACCGTTTTTTGGTAAAAATAAAGTTTCCATCTTTATTTCAATTAATAAACGCAATCTTCTCCGAAAGCGATTCTCGTCCTTAACGTAGGCACTTCGTGTTGACAGAACGAATCTCATCAAGCAATCGTTTCTCGTCGGAGTCGGCACCAAACTCCATCCCAATTTTTCGTGATAGAAGCCTGGAGTTGTTTACATACAATCACGGAGGTTTTAACGATCAATATTTATTCGTTTTCCCATCTACGGAAATGTAGAGATCCGATTCTGAACGATTCTGCGAGTACGAAATCGATTAAGAGCACTTTCCGATTGTGAACGTAATAGATTTGCATATTTCTTTTGTTAGTTTTTGAAGCGATAATGTCGTCCTACCAATAGTTGTCTCAGGCAGAAATCACGTGGTGGGTAGATTAGATACCTAAGCTTGGCGCATGGGGCTGGTCACAAATTCAAGGAGTTCCATATAACTTTCTGCAGTACGCATACCGCATATCAGGTATGCGTACCTAAAGCATTATGATCGCATTAAAAGGGTAGTGTTCTTTCTGTATCATGTACGTATTTGACATTGTCAATAAAATCCCATCGATAATTCGCGTGGGCTTTAACA